TAATACACAGATTATGAGCCACATGTAGTAATTGTATACAATAAAATCTTGACCCAAAGCAAGTTATAAAAGAAGAGGGTACAGTCCAATTCATGTGTGTGTGGTATTTACTTTCAAAGGAGGAGGCCTATGTAAACTGACGCAGCTACCCACATCTCCAATATAATCTTCTATTCTCAATTCAAAATGATTATCAATCACCACTACCACATATTTTTATCACTGAAAAAAAAAAAACCAGTAGCAAGTTGATAGATAACATTTTATTATTTTTTTTTATTTTTTCTTATTTATTTTTTTATTTTTTTAAAGACAGGGTTTTACCACGTTGCAGGCTGGTCTCAAACTCCTGACCTCTTATACATTTATGCCCATCTACAGCCAGACTCTTAGCAAGATCAATGAGCAAAGAAATAGTTCATCAATGCCCTGAAGTGTTTTGCTACTCCTCTAATGAGAAAAAGACTTTTGAAAACTTAAGAAGTACCACAATTTAGTGTGGAACATGTTTTTGTTCTTTTTATTCCTAATATCCTTTTGTAATTTTTAAGACTCATTTTGGGTTTGTCTGGTTTTAATACAGCCTAAAAGTAAAATTGTTATTAGAGTAAAACTGGATAAAGAGAACCAGAAGGACAGAGAAGGTACAGAGTGAGGAAAGGGTAAGGAGAGCAAAGGAAGGGGGAAATACAAGGAGAAAATGTCTATACGAAGAATATGAAGCCAGGTGTCGTGGTCCACGCCTGTCATCCCAGAATTTTGGGAGGCTGAGGCAGTAGGATTGCTTGAGCCCAGCCTGGAAAACATAAGGAGACTCTGTCTCCTCAAAAAAAGAATTTATTTTTTAAATTGGCCAGGCATGGTGGTACACATCTGCAGTGTCGGCTACTTGGGATGTTGATGCAGGAGGATGGCTTGAGCCCAGGAAGTTGAGGCTACAGTGAGCTGTGACTGCACCACTGCACTCCAGCATGGGCAACAGAGGAAAACACTGTCTTGTTTTTTTTTTTTTTTTTTTTTAGTTCAACCATTGTGGAAGACAGTGCGGTGATACCTCAAGGACCTGGAAACAGAAATTCCATTCCATTTGACCCAGCAATCCCATTACTGAGTATATATCCAAAGGATTATAAATTGTTCTGTTATAAGGACACATGCACATGTATACTCATAGTGGCACTGTTTACAACAGCAAAGACCTGGAACAACCCAAATGCCTATCGATGATAGACTGGAAAGGGAAAATGTGGTACATATACACCATGGAATACTAATGAGTTAGTGTCCTTTGTAGGGACATGGATGAACCAGGAAACCATCATTCTCAGCAAACTGACACAAGAACAGAAAATCAAACACAGCATGTTCTCACTGATAGGTGGGCGTTAAACAATAAGAACACACGGACACAGGGAGGGGAGCATCACACACAGGGATCTGTTGTGAGGGAGTAGGGGAGGGATGTAGGGGGTACAGGAGTTGGGGCGGGATAACATGGAAGAAATGCCAGATATAGGTGATGGGGATGGAGGGGGAAAAAAAGACAGAGAGAGAGAGAAAGCAAGAAAAAAAATGAGAAGACTACCTAAGCTCTGTTCTAGAGAACTGACAGACAGACTACAGCCAGTCCTGATCCACTTGTGTGGGCACACTGGCCCTACCTAACATTAGGTACTCAAAACATCTGTGCCTAGTGGCTACCATTTACTCAAAATTCTAAGACACTATGCAGCTGAACTTTCTGCACTGATGGAAATACTTTATTCTGTACTGCCCAGTCTGGTAATCATCAGTCACATGTGATTGCTCATCACTCAACAGTTACTGACTAGCATAACTGAACTAAATTTTAATTTCATTTCACTTAAATCAATCTAGGTTTAAATAGCCACATGTGGCTACTGGTGACTGGATAAGTCAGCCCAGGTCTAGAATGCAGGAATCCGATGACTTTCATGGGCTTGTTTTGAAATTTCACCAAGCTATTCATTTCATTTACATTTCATAGATTTTATATGTATTAATTCACCAAGATTTCACAGCAGAGACAGTTCTTGCCTGCCTCATTTCTTGCGTTTCACTTTTATAATTATCTGACTCGTTCTAGGTTGACTGTTTCTCTGCTGGACCAGAAGCACCATAGAAGAGCACTGGTGGGCCTGTCTTATTCTCCTTTCCAGCCCAGCCTGGAACGGGGCCAGACACACTTTCTGACCCATCAGACACCTGAGAAGCAAGTCAAAAAGGAAGCTTCTCTCCTGGAAGGATCATGCATACAAAGATGTACCCAAAAACCTAAGTCTCATTTTTAAAACAATTTTGTAGTGACACAGATCAACAATATTCTTGGTAACTAGTCCAATTTCTCTCCATTATAGCTTTTACCCTACAAAAGTCAATAATATATCTCTCCACAGGGTTTACATAGTCGATATTACCTTTTTACAAAGAAGTTATTAGATGATTTCTTTAAAATAAATCACTTCAAAACAGACATTCCTTTTATATTTCCCTAAAAAACGCAAATATCTCATTTGTACTACTCATCCACTAATCAATAAATTGAACACAGGATGCCCACATACAAATTGATTAGAAACTGTCTATACTACATATCTGACTGCTTTGCTTACAAAGCAAAGGATATATATGTAAAAGCATATATATTCATAAACAAAGCATGTACAGTATAGAGATCTTTAACTAAATACAATGAAGCATGTACAGTAAATATATCTATATCTATATTGTATATATATCTATACACAGTATATACATCTATATACATATCTACATGTGTGTCCACACACACAATTGAGCTTCTAATTGTCTTTTACACACACACACACACACACACACACACACACATATATATATATATATATATATATATATATATATATATATATACATATAAAATTGTGTTTTAGGTTTTGGGGTACATGTGAAGAACATGTAGAATTGTTGCATAGGTACATACATGGCAATGTCGTTTGCTGCCTTCCTCCCCATCACCTGTATCTGGCATTTCTCCCCATGTTATACCTCCCCAACTCCCCACACCCCGCTGCCCCTCCCCAGTTTCCCCTGACAGACCTCAGTCTATCAGACCACAGTGCAATCAAGTTAGAACTCAGAATTCAGAAACTAACTCAGAACCGCACAACTTCATGGAAACTGAACAATTGGCTCTTGAATTTTGACTGGATAAACAATGAAATGAAGGCAGATATAAAGATGTTCTTTGAAACCAACGAGAATGAAGACAACATACCAGAATCTCTGGGACACATTTAAAGCAGTGTCTAAAGGAAAATATACAGCAATAAATGCCCACATGAGAAGCAAGTAAAGATCTAAAATTGAAACCCTGTCGCCAATTATTAAGTCTTTTATCATATGTTCTATCTACCTAACTAGTTATATGCTGCCTCCACCCCAATATTTTTTTAAGAGATGAAATCTCACTCTATTGCCCAGGCTGGAGGGCAGTGGTGTGATCAAGGCTCTCTGCAGCCTTGACCTCCAGGGCTCAAGCAATCCTCTCACCTCAGCCTCCAGAGTAGCTGGGACTACAGACATCTACCACTATGCCTGGCTAATTTTCTGATTTTTATTTTTGTAACCATTTAGCGGGGGTGGGGGGGCAGTCTTTCTATATTGCCCAGGTTGGTCTTGAACTCCTGAACTCAATCAATCCTTTTGCCTTGGCCTCCCAAAGTGCCAGGACTACAGGTGTGAGCCACAGCACCTGGCCAACCTAATTCTACTCTTAAAGCCGTGTAATTATGGCAGTCAAAAAGTATAGGATTAGAATTCTATCTCTTCTACTTTCTAGATATACAGTTTTGGGTAAATTACTTAAACCCTCTGAGCCTCAGTGTCCCTACCTGAAAGCAACACCCAATTTCATGAGGTCTGTTGAGAGGATTAGATAGAATACTGGCAATGAAAACAACTAGAAGGGTGCCTGGTGCAAAGCAGGTGTTCTGTGTTTGCTAAATGAATAACTGATTTCACCTGTTTCTTGGAACGTCATTCAGAGGCTTACAAACATCCTGAGAATGAATAAGAGTTTATTATATTCTAACTTAAAGTGAGCAGAGTCTGAAGATTAAAAGGCAGATTTAAAGGCAAGTCAGTAACTAGTGATTGAACAAACAAAAGGAGAAAAATCAGTGTCTTAACAAAATGAGAGAACTCACTCAAAAAAAGACATTTCAGATGCCTGACATAAATCAATTGAAAGGTCTCTGCTCTTTGGAAATGGTTCAACTCAGGCTATCATTGTGGAATCATAATCGTTTATAGTTTTCATAACTGTGGCTAATCCATGGTCTATTTATCTTTAGGGCATTACAATTTACAAGACCACTCACTATTCAGCCTCTGTATCAGTCCATACTCACACTGCTAAGAAGAAATACCCAAGACTTGTTATTTAGTTGACTTATAGCTCCGCAGAGCTGGGAAGGCCTCAGGAAACTTACAATCATGGTAGAAGGGGAAGCAAACACATCCTTCTTCACCGGCCACAGCAAGGAGTAATGCCAAGCAAAGGAGGGAAAGCCCCTTATAAGACCATCAGATCTCACAAGTACTATCACGAGAACAGCATGGGGGAAACCGCCCCCATGATTCAATCATCTCCACCTGGTCCCACCCTTGACATGTGGGAATTATCACAATTCAAGGTGAAATTTGGGTGAGGAAATAGCCAAACCATATTGGCCTCCAAACTTCACACTTGGTAAATTTGATTTCTGGCACTTTTGTCTATTCTAAAGCTTCTTCAACAATCAAGACGGTATATGTAAATAGAACTGAGATAAATGACAGCTTTACCAGTTTGTATAAAAAATCTAAAGGTATGTTGCAATGAAGTGCTCCTTGAAAAGTTAACCTCTATTTTGTTGATAGACTCCCTGGTAGGGAAATACACAAGGAGTCAAGATCCTCATAAATCATGTCAATAGGAAGATGATGGCAGTCATCCATACCTCAGCTTCCTGCAGGGTCCCGTGGTTTAGGCACACCATGTCAGGGCAAGTGATGGGAGACCCACATCCCTCTCGGATTGCCAGCTGCATGTATTGTTTCAGGCACTGGAAGTTAAGGAAAAAAAAAAAAACAGACAATTACGCATCCATTACAGTAGCACAAAGGTTACATAGCACAATATAACCGCCTCTTCTTCCCTAATTGGCTGTCCTAAGGCTCTTATACTCAAGAAACATAAGTTGTCACAAGTGTGAATACTAAGAGCCATCACTTTGGAAAGAATGCAGAGACATGCAATTAATTATGTATGACTTCATCTTAAGAATTTATTTAAGTCAGACTTCCCTATGTTCACACATTTCAGCTACCACAGATTAAGAAAAGAAAAAAAACACTATTTTCTAATGCTAAAGTCCTCCTCCTCCTTTAAAAAACAAAAACAAAAACCCTATATGAATTCCTAATTCCATTTTTACTTAGTGGTTCTCTGCATCAAAGTTTGCCCAGAAGTAGACCAGAACGCTGGGACCCTTGCACTGAGCTAGCCACACAATCAAAGTAAGCTTAAGACAGTGACATTTCTAGGACCACTTTTTTCTTTTTTCTTTTCTTTTTTTTTTTTTTTGAGATGGAGGGTTGGTCTGTTGCCCAGGCTTGAGTGTAGTGGCACAATCTCAGCTCACTGCAACCTCCACGTCCCGGGTTCAAGCGATTCTCCTGCCTCAGCCTGCCAAGTAGCTGGGACTACAGGCACCAGCCACCATGCCCGGCTAAGTTTTTTGTTTGTTTGTTTGTTTTGTTTTTGTATTTTTAGTAGAGACAGGGTTTCACCGTATTGGCCAGGCTGGTCTTGAACTCCTGACCTGTGATCTGCCCATCTCAGCCTCCCAAAGTGCTGGCATTACAGGCGTGAGCCACAGCACCTGGCCAGGATTACTCTTAAAAGCAAATGCACCTGGAAAATACAGTGTCAAATTTGGCAAAGTCAGGTGACTTCCTGCTGACTGGGATATCAAAGATAATTTTCTTCCCAAAGACAACGAGACACATTGTCCCAAAGACATTATCTCAAAGACAATGTGACCTTACCAAAAACATGGTCCTTGGTGGATGCCATGTTAAGGAGGTTTGAATAGGAAAAAAAGCCACTGGTCACCTGGGAAAAGAAGAAATTGAATAAAAAGAACCCAGAGAAGAAATTGAATAGAAAAATGAAACCCAGAGAAGAAATTGAATAGAAAAATGAAATCCAGAGAAGAAACTGAATTTTAAAAAAACCCAGAGAAGAAATTGAATAAAAAAAAGAAGCCCAGAGAAAAAAATGAATTAAAAAAAAAAGAAGCCCAGAGAAGAAACTGAATTTTAAAAAAAGAAACCCAGAGAAGAAAAGAAAAAAGAAATCCAGAGAGAAGAGGGAGACTATCAGGAACAAAGTTGATCTTCTCATTGACTGTTGTGTCTGGATGTTGGACAGTGGGTGGAGATGGGAGTCTGACTGAGAAGTTAGGAGAGGGACTGACAGCTTTATGGAAACCTCTAACACCTTCTCCTATTCCTCTCTACCCATCCGCACACACCCACAAGAAATTGAAGGCAGAAGGTCCAGGAAATAAGCCTCTAAGCAATCCAAAACTGGTTCTTCAACTTCTACTGATTTGCTCATAATTGGTAAACCCCTTCTACATGCATGACCAAAAAAGTCAAGCCCAAATGTTTAATGAGTACATTTTACCAAAAATACCTAAGCCAGCCAATGAAGCAACGACTCTTAACAAAGTGGTGATTATTTACAACTGGGTTTAGAGTTTTAAAATTTAAACATTTATGTATCAACTTGCTGCACTGAAAAAATTTCTGCTGTGCCAACCTTTTATAAAAGCATAAACCAAAAGTAAAATTCTAGGGTCAGAATGCTGACGATGTAATTGTGAAACCTATCCCTGTTATTGACCATCTTTACTTATTTCTCCATCTGAAAATAAAACTAATATTACTATTACATTACTTCAGAAAAATAATCATGTATGTACCTGATTGTAAATGACTGTTACAATGTATTGATGAATCAATGACTAGGGCAAACCATTTAAACCAGATTTGTATCTCTTCAAATAGTTAACAAGTTTCTTCTCCAAAGAGTTAATTTTTTCTGCAATATTCATCACAGCAAAAACTAGAAAATAACCTAAATACTAAAAATACAACATTCAAATAAATGTTGCTAAATTTATGTGATAGACTGTGCAGAATCATGAAAAATGTCTTCAAATGATATTTAAAAGACATGAACAAATGCTCATGATTTAGTATAAACTGAGGAATAGAAGGTATCTTATCTAGGAACAGGGATCCTCCATAGTCACTCCTCCCTTGCACTTGACCACCATATAGATAACTGTGTTTTAACCTTGACTTTCTTCTTCAACAGAAGGGTGAAAAAAATCACTTGCTCTAGGATTCACTGTGCCAAACATGATATCCAGCAGCAGCAATGGGACACAGAAGAGAGCAGCAGCAAGGAAATACGAGGAAGAATGTCAATGGCCAGGCGATCCCCCAGGGGATCAGTCAAGGCGGCTCACCAAAAGGAGTGTCACGCCAGGGACAAATGAATAAACAATGTGAAAGTCCATCCATCCTGTTCGGCTGCTGAGGACATCTCAGCCTTCCATCAGGCACACCTGTTCCGTTGTCACTGCCTTGATCTTCCCTCTGACCCCCAGCAGCCACTTAAAGAAAGTTAAAAGATGGAAAGGTATGGTCTCCAGGCTCAGGGAGAAGGTGTTTGAGGAAAACAAAGTCAACAGTGCAAAGAACTTCAGATCCTAATACCTGAGTGAAGGACCCACTTTACTAGGTGACAATGGGAAAATGACTTAGCCTATGACCCAGACTTGCCTCCCTCAATTTAAAAAGTAGGGACAATAATATCTGTTACGGTTACCTCACAGGGTTTCACACACACACACACACACACACGCACGCGCGCGTGAAATTTATATATGGAAGCCCTTCATGGATTTGCAAATTACATAATAGGTCATGTTATTACTCCTCTTCTCCTGGTCTTAGGCTTTCCATCAAAAACTTTGGGGAAAATGTTAATCCTTTGTCCTTCTCAGACAGCCTTTCTCCACTCCCTGCAACGGACCAGTGAAACCACTTAAGGTGGAGAAGCTGTGTAGAATGAACAGATATTTGTAACAGAATATTCCAGGTGCCTCTATGCAAGGCTCTTCTTAGAAATATTTGGATCTACAGAATAAGCTTAGCATTAAATAGGAACTAAAGATACTATGTGAGTCTTTAAAGGCAAACATGTTCATTTTAAATATAACTACAAATGTGTTAAGTTGAAATATACACCTTCCCAAGAGCTTGAAATGGATGTGCCTCTTACTAATAATGTAACGTTCCTAGGTGCACTACAAACTACAATATATCAACTTAATGAATTTTGAAACTTCCTGTAAGCACTCTCCTGGCCACAATACTATGTGACTCATGATTTTCGGTGAGAAATTAGAGCTCTGTACACTGACTCCAGGGTTTATGCACATATACCCTTTGTTTTTTTGTTTTTGTTTTTGTTTTGTTTTGTTTTGTTTTTTGAGACGGAGTTTCACTCTTGTTACCCAGACTGGAGTTGGAGTGCAATGGCGCGATCTCGGCTCACCGCAACCTCCGCCTCCTGGGTTCAGGCAATTCTCCTGCCTCAGCCTCCTGAGTAGCTGGGACTACAGGCACGCACCACTATGCCCAGCTAATTTTTTGTATTTTGAGTAGAGACGGGGTTTCACCATGTTGACCAGGATGGTCTCGATATCTTGACCTCGTGATCCACCCGCCTCGGCCTCCCAAAGTGCTGGGATTACAGGGGTGAGCCACCGCGCCCGGCCATACCCTTTGTTTTTAATGCTAAGAAACACTGGTTCAACATAGAGGTTTGCAAGGGCAGGTTGCTAAGTAATCCTACAGCACAGGCACTTGAAACTCCATCAGTGTGGACATGCATTTATATTCAAAGGCAAAGAGGGAAAACAACCAGCCCCAGTTATTGCTGCTAACTGAATTTTCAAGTATCCAGGCTTGTTATATGCCATCCATTAACTTTCACTAAAACATTTAATCTCAGAGTGTCTCTCTCTTCTTCTGTATCTCTGGCTAAAAAGCGCAAAATAACTGAAAACATTCACATGAATCGCATGTGCCTGTCATACAAAATATAGGTAAACGGTTAACAGTTGTAGGGAAAAAACTAGCATCTAGCTTTAAAGAGAGAAACAGAAAATAAAAACAGATTATAGTAATGCAAGAATGGCAAAATAAAATACATATTAAAAATAAAACTACCATAATTTAGTCACATTTTGAAAATTACATTTACTAAGTAGCATTCAATAGATATTTAAATATGCAATTTTCTTAACAGATAACAAATTGGAAGGAAAATGTTTCAAGTAGAACATCTCAAAAACCCAGTTGACCCAAGGGGGGAAAATAAAAACCTTTTTCTTTGGAATAGTTAACATTTTACTTAGTTTGATAAAACAGAATTATTTTTAGGCCATGAAAGGTCATGCAAAATAACAAGGATTGTTAATTAAACTCACTTCACAACTTAAAGATTCATATGAGATCTAACCAAAAATTTAACCATCAAACACCTGGTGAACCAGATGACTCGTATTGTCTCTTCCAACTCTGAGAGTCTGTAATTTGTATGCAGTGGAATCCTCTCAGAAACAGGTTTCCCCCAGACCCCTTTCAAGGGTATTAGTTTCCAATGTACCAAAGTCATGGGCATTCTTCATATAAGGTGTTCTCATCTATTATGATGGACATGAAAAAAGGGTCACAGTGGTAAGACAAAGCTACTATGTACCCACCCAAGAACAAATCACAGGAGTGGGCAGGAAATATATGCATATTTTTAAAAACTAACTATATAGTTCCTCATTCTCTATCACTAGATTGTACCCTTCTAAAAGGTTTTTTTTTTTTTTTCCTAAGCAAAAATAAAGCATTATAATGAATAGCCAATGTAACTGGATTCCAACCATCCAGGTTGAAGCACAAACTCCAAAGTCTCCTCTGCATATTG